GCGGCTCTCTGCTGGTAGCTCTACAGGAGCTGATTCTTGACGCTGACGATCGCGTCGGTGGCCTCCTGGTCGTAGGCGCTAGTGCCCTCGTTTTACACGCCGAACGCGATGCCCAGGTCGTTCTCGTCCTCGCAATTGAGGCCCAAACTATGTTGCATTAGCGTCGTCTGCGTCTCTGGCTCGGCTTCGAAGCCAGGCGGGGCCCCCGTTATGGTGGCGACCGCTTGCTCGGCGCATTCCATCATGTGTTTCTGCCGTTCGGCGAACAACGCCGTGGTGGCGCTGACCTTCTCGTAGGCCGCCTTGTACTTCCCGCTGGCATTCTCCAGCTTTCCCGTTGCGCTCTTGAGATGCCTGGCCTTGGACAGCGGGTGTTTGTCCTGCGTGGGCGCCGAGCCTTCAATGACTGGGAGGAGCTTGGTCGCTCGCTCGCTGGCGGAGCCCGTGCTGGTAAGCATTTTGGCGGTGTCCCTGGGGGCGTTGGCTACGCTCTTGCTCTGTGGGGTCGCCTGGCTGTCGGTGTGCTGATGCGGCTGCGCGTTCTGGGCCGTGGGCCTCTTGACCACGCTGCCGCAGGATCACTCACATCCCTCAAGTTTCCCGATCGTAGTTGTACTGCCACGCGTTGCAGTTCTTGCAAGTGGTAATCGACCAAGCTGGTGGAGAATAGGGCGGAGATAACTCCTTGCCCCTGCCCGTGCTGTCCTTGCCAAGGCTTTGCGACCAGAGTTGTTGTCTCTGGCTGCGGCGCCCCATTCGCTCTGGCGTGCCAGCGTGGTGGTCTCGCAACTGCAGGGACCACAACGCGGCGCGGCGCCTCGTGGCGTCGAGATAGCAAGAAAAAAGAGGAAGGGGGAGTGGGAGGGGAAACGGGGGGAGGAGGAGGAGGAGGAGGAGGAGGAGGAGGAGGAGGAATCCTTGCCAGCAGCGCGGCTGTGGGCCACGGCCAGCCTGGGGCCTGTTCCCCAAGCCTCGAACGACGGGGCGGTGCCAGAGCCGCTGCTGGGGACTCTGCACAAATCCTGCCGTGACGCCTGCATCTGCCTCAACTCTGATCCGCGGTGTCTGCTGGCAGCGGGCGCGACGCTGCCCTGGCCTCGCGGGTTGCACTGGGCGCTTCTTCGCCGCGGGTCGCGGCGTCATGCAATTCCAGGCCACCCTTTTTTTCGGCAGGGATCGACTTAAACCGTGTTTGTCGTTTTCGTTTCATATTTCGCTTTCCCTTGTTTTGTCTTCAATCCGCCTGTGCCGCAAAACGAAATCAAAACGAAAACGGCCCACGAAATCGCCAAAACACCGTTTAGGTCGAGCCCTGTTCGTCGGTGGCTCCAATGGCGGACCGTAGGGCTCGCCGAGACCTGGGCCACCTACTTTCGCGCCCCCGCGCCGCGCGATCATCCCCGCGCTGTCGCTCGGGCATCGCCCAGAGAAAGGCACCCCATGTGGCCGGGACGGCGCGGTGCGGAGCGCGGTCATCGTCGCGTCCCCGTGTGGCTGACCTGGCGGGGCCGTGCCGCTGTCGCGCGCCCACTGCCGCGTGCCTTCTGTGCCCGTGCCTCCTACGCCGTGCCTCGAAGCGGGGGCAGCAAAACGCACTGCGCACCATGTGTCCAGGGCAACCTCCCAGCACTCAACGGCCCAGGAAAGAGTCGCCACAGCGGGCAGCCGAGACCGGCACGGCGGGGAGCAGCAGCGTCGTCCTGGTTCGCTCTTTGCCCTTGGTGTCCTTGGCCTGGGGCTTGCGCAAGGTGAACACATGAGGAGGAAGAGGACGAGAAAAGTGCGCTCCGCGGCCTCTCGTCCTCCCGACCCCCCCCCCCTCGCCCCCTCCAGAACCCCCCGCCCCTCTTTACCATCTTTCCCAAATCCCCGTCTCCCCGCTATCGTTCCGCCCTCCCTGCCCTGGAGGAAGGGGAGATGCGAAGAGGTGAGAGGAGAGGCTCGTCGAAGCAGCAAGCGTCGGTTACGCTGAGTTCGAGAGGATGCAACATCTAGGTTCGACACCGTAGCTACAAAACGAAGTACACGTCGGAATCGCGCTCCTACATACAAGCCAGCCTGAGAAGGTTCTCAACATGTGCCTCGGGCTGGCGGATGTACTCCGAATTTGCAGGCTCCGAGCCGCCCCCCTCGCGCGGTCTGGAACCGCTGGGAGAAACGACACACGATGAAACGACACCATGAGCGGAAGCGAATGCAACTGCGATGGCAATAATGTCACGACTTGTAAGGAAGAAAAGGAAACGCCTACGCTGCTTCCCGGCACGTCTTCCATCCTCTTGCATACCCGATGAGTCCCTACCCTTACTTTGCCATGGCCACACATGCATATGGTGCATTTCCTGCAGGCAACTCACGTCATAGCTGTTGTTTCGCTGGACGTGGTCTATGCTTGCTCTTTTCAACAGCAGACTTGCCTCGGCGGCAAAACGAGCTTGGAACACTCAACGCGAGCAGGTAACGGAGATGATGGCCAGCGACGGTGAGATAAAGCAGAACTGTTTGTTTTATCCGACTCATGCGGACAATCACAGCCATTGATCGCTCATGACTTCGCACGAGAGGAAGGCTGAGGGAAGCTCTTTTCGAAGTTTGCGAGTGGAAGAACACATCAAGAGCCAGGGTCGCACCTTGCAGCTAGACCGAGGGTGCGAGAACACTGCGGGATCGGGACAAGTACGGAGAGTCGCGCTGACGAGCAAGATCGTAGATGTCAGGGACCGCGAACGGCACTACAAGGGGACGGGAGAGGGCGGGCAAAGTGAACAATAGAACGCGATGCACTACCAACATTGGCACTGGAGCGTCCGAGCCAAAATATTCAGGGCTCGTTCGCGGATCCTACCTGCAACCTAGGGCTGCGGAGGCAAGGGCGGCGATCGCCTGTGACCGGGGACGGGGAGAGTATGATGAAGGCGAGATGAGGGTAAACCTGGATGAGAACACACAGGGAATCTCTGAGAATCACCCAGGCTGGAGGACGCATCGGGAGCCGCGACCGTTCCAAAGCGGTCCAGAACGCCACGGAACGCTCTGGAGCAATTGATCCTCGCCCTAGTTTCGCCAGCGTGGACCCCCAATTGCGATTTTGCAAAATCTATGCGGTGCGATCTAGGTGGTGCCATCAAAAAGCGGTCTAGGTGGCAATCCATGTGGCACAATCTATGTGGCGCAAAGCCATGCGAAGCAATGCAAAGCAATGCTTAGCAATGCAATGCGACGCAACGTAATGCAAATCAGTGTAAAGCAAGGGAGCGCAAAGTTAAGCAATGCAAATAAAGTCAAAGTAGAGCAAACCAATGCCATGCCAAGCAATGCAAAGCAACGCGAATCAACGCAATGCAAAGCAAGACAACGTAACACAAGGCAATGAATATAACTGCAATACAACGCAAAACAATGCAAAGCGACGCAACTAAATGCAAAGCAATGCCATGCAAAGCAGCGTGACGCAACGCAAGGCAAAGCCACACAATGCAAAGCTATGCAAGACAGGGCAATGTAAAGCAACACGATTCAAAACAATGCTAATCAGTGCGAAGCAATGCAAAGCAAGACACTGCAAGGCCATGCAAGGCAATGCAACGCAACGCAATGTAAAGCAATGCAAACAAGGCATAACAACGCCAATCCGAAACACTGCATAGAAATGCAGAGCAGAGCAAAGCGAAGAAATGAACAATAAAACAAAGCATGACGCGCGGCGACGAGGCGGCGACGGGGCGACGACGGCGAGCACGCAGCCGCCGGACCGTGACGCAGGGGCAGACGGGGCAGCGAAGAGGCGGCGACGGGACGGTGACGGCGAGCACGGCGCTGCCAGACCGGCGCGCAGGTCCTTACGACGGGCGGCGATGGGGCGGCGACAGGGCGGCGACGGCGAGCACGGAGCCTCCAGACCGGGGCACGCAGGCCGAGCTCCTTCGAAAACTCATCAGAAACCTTAAGTGCAAGCACTGTTTGGGGAATAATACGCCTGTCTTAAAAGGTGGTGGGGGGTCTACCCATCCACCCTTCCACACGTCCCTCTCGTATCTTCACCTCACGCCCCATCTCTTCTCCTCATTCTTCCTATCCCCGCCTCCTTTTCCAAGCAGGCGCGAAGCTCGGCTGGTCGATAAAACTGTCAGAAATGGACTCCCTGGACGATATCCAAACTTCTCAGAATGTTTTTGTCATTCTTCAGAGGCAAGGTCCGTTACCCTGATGGGAGGGGGAAGAGCGATGCGCGAATCGGTTGCACCCAAGGTCGGTTTCGCCTGGGGAAGTTTCGCCCGGGCCGGTTTCGCCCGCGGTCGGTCGCTTCACCTGGGTCGGGTTCGCCTGGGCCATAATCGCCCTGCGCGGTTTCGCCCAGGGCAATTTCGCCGGGGTCGGTTTCGTCTGGGGTCGATTTCGCTGGGGTCGAGTTCGCGCGGGCGGGCAGGACCCTAAAGGGCGGGCGGGGCGGGCGGGACACAAGATCGGGCGAGCGGGTCTGCGGGCGAGCGAGCGAGCGGACAACGTGCACGTCAGGCTGGTGGAATCCTAACGGGCGGGTCGGGCGGGCGGGACCCTGACGCGCGTGCCGGGTGGGAGGGACCCAAACGGGCGGGTCGGGCGGGCGGGACACTACATCGGACGGCGGGCTTGCGGGCGAGCGGGCCCAAGCGTGCGGGTCGGGCGGGGGGAGGACCCCCGACGAGGCCGGCTGGGTGGAACCCTAACGGGCGGGTCGGGCGAGAGTGACCGTAACGGGCGGGTCGGGCGGGCGGGGCGCAAAGCGAGCAGGCAGGCGGGCCGGGCGGACGGACCCTGACGGGCGGAACCTTACGGGCCGAGACGGCCACGGGCGAAACCGACCGCAAGCGAAACCCACTGGGGCGAAACCGACCACGCGCGAAACCGACCGGGCGAATCCGACGATACGAAACCGCCTGGGCGAAGCGGGCCTGGCGAAACCGACCGGGCGAGAGGCGGCGCCCGCGCACGCGCGCGCTCCGCCGCGCCCAGGCGGCGGCCTACCCGCCGCCGCCCCTGGCGCCCGTCGCGCCGCGGAGCTGCCTGCGGGGGCCCTCCCCCCCCCCCGCCTCCTCGAGAGCAGCGCGGGGGCGGTGAGCAAAGGCAGGCGAGCGGGGAGCGGCGCGGGGAGCGGGGAGCGGGGGAGGGGTGGGTGGGGTGGGGGGAGCGCGGATCGGGGGAGGTGCGGGGGAGGGGGGGGCAGCGGGGAGGCAGAGGGGCGAGGGAGAGGAAGGAGCAGCAGCAGCAGGAGCAGCAGCAGCAGCTGGAGGAGTGCTGACACGGACGCGAGTTGCCGTTCAGGGCCGAGCTCAGAGCGCACTCCGAACAGCCGGGGCGGCGATCGCACGAAATGCACGTTGCCGGGACGAGGGCGAGAGATGGACAGACAGACCAGGAGGATCAGGAGGAGGGAAAGAGAGCTGCGCACACGTCCTCGGCCTTCGCACTGCGCTCGCCCATTCTCGCATGTCACTATCCTCGCAAACTCCAGCCGTCACTCGTCAAAGCTCGTGCTCCTCCGAGTGGAACGCCGTGTTCGGCCGAGATGCGCAGCAAGGACCCGCAGAGTGCGCATAGCCGTAACATTCACGCTGTCAAGTGTTCTCGCGCTCTCCATCGAATTCGCGAGCCCGTCCCATTCTCGATGGCAGTAGCCAGTCGACTCTGCAGACCCAAGTAGCTTCGCATATGGGCGTGCTGGAGGGCGAACGCGTTTGCAGACGGCGGCAACAGGCGCAGAAGAGGGGGCGCCGGTTGGGATCCCAGATGAAGAGACCATTGGAGTATATGAAGGAGACAGGAACGAAGAGGAAGGTTGTGGATGGGGAGGGCGCAACAATGAATATGCATGATCAGTAGTCTCCCTCCCATCTCTCCCATCTCTCCCTCCCTCCTCGCCCTCCCTCTCCTGCTTCCGCGCAAGCAAGCCGCGGGCGAGGCCACCTCAGGACTCGCACGCAAGTCTCGAAGTTCGGTCTCCTCTCGGGCACCAGATCGACGCATGTCAGCGCCTGGGGGGTGCGAGGACCCTTTGGGGGGGGCACCAGCTTACACCAGCACCAATCCTGGCCAGTCCTGTCATGGGCCCAATGCTGGTGCACGTGCGCCCTCATGGCTCTGCCAGGAGGTCGTATGAACAAATCCTGGACCCACACGGGCAGACCGTGCTGGAAGTACAGCGCCCAGTACTCAGAAGTCGAGTGAGGCACCTGGGCGCTAACGAGAGCTTCAGCCGTGCTTCAATCCTTTTCGGGACATGTGCACAAAACGCTGTGTGTACGTTCAGTCAACGCTCAGGTCGGGCATGTCCTCCTGCAGGCGGAGTGGACGACAATTAAAAAGTACCCCAAAAAAATATAAAAATAAAAATCATAGAGAAATCGTCCCAAAATGACGTTTTGACTGTAGAGGGTCAGGCCCGACTTAAGTCAACGCTGCTTGGACTCAAGATCGGTGCTGGTGTCTTGCCGGCGCATCCCAGGACTCCGACGCCCGGTCGCCGCGAGAGTCGGGGGCGCGCAAACATGGATTAGCGATCCATGGATTTGGCGAGCGGTCGCCAAATCCATGGATCGGGGGAGGCGCCTCCCCAAAATGCGGCCAATGCCGCCTCGCTCGGCGGCGGGAATCCGCGACTTCCAATGGAAACGGGACCCGTTGCTAATCCACGCCCCCTTGATCCATGTTTGCGATCGCCTCCCTCCTCGCCGCCATGATCCCCCCCTTCACTCCCGCCTCCCACCCTGCATCATCCTCATCCTTCCCTGCTCCTCATCCTCCTCCTGACCCTCCCTCCGTCCTCCCCCTTCCCTCCTCCTCCTCCTCCCTCCTTCCCTCCTACTCCCTCTGCCACCTTGATCCATGCTTGCGATCGCCTGAACTTGGCGGCGCGCACAAGGGGGTGGAGGGAGGGGGGAGGGCTTCTTAGAAGGAGGCTGCTTCGTAGAAGGCGCCGGCCTTACGCCTATAGACGAGGCCCGCGCCTTCTAAGAAACAGGGGTGTTTCTAGGAAACCCTCCCCCTCCCCCCACCCCCCTCTGCGCGTGGCTGATGAACAGTGGCCTCGCCAAGAGCGGCGCTGGTGCCTTGCCGGCGCATCTCGGGACCCCGACGCCTTGCCGGGAGAGCGGGCGCGACGGGCGGCCCTTGGAGCCTCGGCACGTCTTCGGGGGCTCCCCTCCCTCCCCCCCTCCTCCTCCCCCTCCTCCCCCCCCTCCCCCTCTCCCCGTCCTCCCCCTCCTCCTCCTCCTCCTCCTCTTCGTCCCCCCCTCCCCCGTCCCTCATCCTCCCCCTCCTCATCCCCCTCCCTCATCCTCCTTCCATCCTCCCCCCTCCCCCCCATCCCCCCCCCATCCCCCACTTCGTCTACCTCCCGCCGCCGTCCCGCCCGGAACCGCAGCGCGACCCCCAGGTCGGCCGGGGTCCGTGGGGGTCGGCGGGAGAGGCCCCCCACTCCTCCCTGCTGCTGCCGAGGTCACCCCTCCCGAAATTTATCCGACAGCCGAATTGGCCCGAGAGCTAGCAGCCCGCGCGCCACCGCCGCCGGCGCCAGACCGCCGCTTCTCCTCCCTCTTCCCCCCTCACCCCGCGCCCCCCTCTCGCTCCTCCTATCCCTCCAGCCGCCGTCCCGCTCAGACCCACAGCGCGGCTTCCTGCCCGCCGAGGTCTTGGAGGGTCGGCGGGGGTGGGGGCCTCCCCCCTCCCCCACTCCCTCCCGTCGCCGTCCCGCTCAGACTCGCCGCGCGGCTTCCTGCCTGGCCGAGATCGAGAGGGGTCGATGGACCCCCCCCGCCTTTTCCCCCCTCCTCTCCCCCCCCCGCCGCCCCGTTCAGACCCGCAGCGCGGCCTCCCAGCCAGCCGGGGTCTTGGAGGGTCGGCGCGGGTAGGGGCCTTCCCCTCCTCTCCCTCCTCTCCCTCCCGCCGCTGCCCCGCCCAAATCGCAGCACGGCCTCCTGGCCGGCCGAGCTCCTGGGGGGTCGGCGGGGGTAGGGGCATCCCCCTCCTCTCCCCCCCTTTCCCCCTCCCACCGCCGTCCCGGCGCCGCCGTCGCGTCCCGCTCAGGCCCGCCGCACGGCCTCCCACCCGGCCGAAATCTTGTGGGGTCGGCGTGGGAGGGAGCCTCTTTCCCCCCATTTCCCTGCTCATCTCTCTTCCACCACCGTCCCGCCCAGACCGATACACGGCTTCTTACCGACCGAGGTCTTGGGGGGTTGGCGGGGGCGGGCCCCCTCCCGTCCTCTCCCTCCTGCCCTCCCTACCCCCCTGCCGCTCCGACTCGTAGCGCGGCCCGCTGGCCAGCGCAGTCTCGGGGGGTGGGTCCCCCCCGCCTCCCCCCCAGTCTTTCCCCCGTCTGCCGCCCCGCTCGGACCCGCAGCACGGCTTCCTACCCGGCCGAAGTTTGGGGGGTCGGCGGGGGCCTCCTGTTCCCCCCCCTCCTCCTCTCTCCTCCTCCTCCTCCTCCTCCTCCTCTCCTCCTCCTCTCCTCCTCCTCCCTCCTCCTCCGTCCTCCTCCTCGTCCTCCTCCTCGTCCTCGTCCTCCTCCTCCTCCTCCTCGTCCTCCTCCTCCTCGTGTCCTCCTCGTCCCTCCTCGTCCTCCTCGTCCTCTCGTCCTCCTCGTCCTCCTCGATCCTCGTCCTCCCTCGTCGTCCTCGTCCTCCTCGTCGATCCTCGTCCTCCTCCTCCTCGTCTCCTCCTCGTCTCCTCCTCGTCCTCCTCCTCGTCCTCGTCCTCCTCCTCCTCTCCTCCTCGTCCTCCTCGTCCTCCTCGTCCTCCTCCTCTTCCTCCTCGTCCTCCTCCTCTCCTCCTCTCCTCCTCCTCCTCCTCCTCGTCCTCCTCGTCCTCCTCGTCCTCCTCGTCCTCGTCCTTCTCGTCCTTCTCGTCCTCCTCCTCGTCCTCCTCGTCCTCCTCTCCTCCTCGACCTCCTCGTCCTACTCGTCCTCCTCCTCGTCCTCCTCCTCGTCCTCCTCCTCGTCCTCCTCGACCTCCTCGTCCTCCTCGTCCTCCTCGTCCTCCTCGTCCTCCTCGTCCTCCTCCTCCTCCTCCTCCTCCTCGTTCTCGTCCTCGTCCTCCCTCGTCCTCCTCCTCCTCCTCCTCCTCGTCCTCGTCCTCCTCCTCTTCCTCCTCGTCCTCCTCGTCCTCCTCTTCCTCCTCCTCCTCGTCCTCCTCCGCCTCCTCCTCCTCCTCCTCCTCTTCCTCCTCCCTCTCTTTCTTTATCCTTCTCATCCTCCTCCTCGTTCTCTCCCTCCTCCTATTTTGTTCCTCCTCTCCTCCTCCTCCTCCTCCAACTCCTCCTCCTCCTCCTCCTCCTCTCCTCCTCCTCCTCCTCCTCCTCCTCCTCCTCCTCCTCCTCCTCCTCCTCTCCTCCTCTCCTCCTCTCCTCCTCCTCCTCCTCCTCCTCCTCCTCCTCCTCCTCCTCCTCCTCCTCCTCCTCCTCCTCCTCCTCTTTTTCTTTCTCATGAGATTCCTCCTCCTCGTTCTCTTCCTCCTCCTTTTTGTTTTATTTCTCCACCTCCGCCTTCTCCTCCGCCTTCTCCTCCTCCTTCTCCTCCTCCTCCTCCTCCTCCTCCGTCTCTTCCCTCCTCCTCTCCCTCCCGCCGCGGCCCCGCCCAAACCCGCAACGCGGTTTGCTGGTGGGTTGCCCGCCGAAGGGCCCGGCAACCCGACCCGCTGGACCTCCGAGGACCCCCCGGGGGCCGCCAAGGGGGAGGGGGGCGGGGCCGCCAGCCGTGCATGGTTGCCGGACCCGGTTCCAGGCAACCAACCCCCCGGAGTGGCCTGCGGGCCCTCGAAGGAGCCAGGGTGGGCTCGGCGGGCCCCCCATCTCCACCTGTAAGGGGAGGGAGGACGGACCGCTGTGCGGTGACGTCTGGCACCCCTGGCGTGGCAGCCGTAAGCCTAATGGGGCGGTTGCTTGTCCACGCCGGGATCTTGAAGCGGCCTACGCGCCGGAGTCCCAAGCGCAAGTCCGATACGCAAGTCCCCCTCCTCTCATCGTCCTTTCTTCCCCCCTCATCGTCCTACCCTCGTCCCCTCCTTCGCGTCCCGCGCCCCCCTCCCCCCTCCTCTTGCTCCCTGGGGGGGGGGCCCTCTCACTGCGGCCACTCCCCCCGGCCCCCTGCCCTCGCTGCGCTCGCTCATCCTGTTTCCTCTTGGGCGGCCGAGGGCCGCGCGCGGCCGTCGGGACGCGACAACGAGGGATCGACCGTGAGGTACAGTGGAGGCCAGTCCACAAGAAACAGTCCACAAGAAACCCAACCCTGAGACCCCAGGACGTCCATCGATGTTTGTGTGTGTGGGAACGTCACAATGTCCATGGCAAAACCATCGAAACCCAAGAAAGCCATGGCACCCTGGAGGCAAGCAAGGTTTCTTGGCATGAATCTCCGCTGTGTCAACCGACCGTGAAACACCGCACTGCACAACCATGTGCGCTCTTCCCTCCTCCCACCTCCTCCCGTCGTGTCACTACCTCCCGCCGCCGCCCCGCCTTCGTTGCCTTCCCACGCCTTCGCCCCCTGCACGCTGCTTCCTTGCGATGTGGGAAGCCAGCGATGCGCCGTGGCACCGCTCGCAGTATTGTCTCCGCATTGCAGCCCAGTGGACTCTCGACTCTTGCCCAGAATGCTCCGTTCGCCGCGCGTTGTCAGCCAACGAAGACTTCCAGTTAACTCGGGGCCTCGGCCACTCTGCGGACTCAAACGCCCTCTCCTCTAGCCTGCGATACACAGCCGCGCAAATCAGCAGCAACCAAACGACGGAGAGGACCGACCAACACCTTCCTCCCCCCATCTCTCCTCCAGCTCCCTTCCCCTCGCCGCCCATGGCCCCCTCGCCCCACGCCTTTCTCGCCTCCCTCCCCGGGCCCACCTCCCCCCCCAATGCGGGGCGCCCTCCGTGGGGGCGCGGCCGCGCGCGACCCCGGAGCGGCGGCTGCGGCGGCGGGGGCGGGGCGCCAGGTCCGCAAGCTCCTGCGGGCACCCCTCGCCCCCTCCTGCGCTCCCCCTGCGCCCCCTCTCGGCTCCGACTGCCCCAGCAGCCACTCTTGACCGTTCGCGACACGGAGAGGCGGGCGAGCTGCCCCGCGCACCCGCACCCCGTGCGTGCACCGCCCGCGCCGTCCGATCGAAGCGCCCGGCTGGGCCGCACACCGCAGGCGGTGCTGGTCCAACGAAACGAGCAGAGAGCAGAGCAGAGCGCGCCGTTGTCCGCCGGGCGGCGGGGCCTAGAAGGCTGGCGCGGGCGGGCCGGAGCCCTCAAGTGTGGAGGTGAATGTTCTCGACCGTTGGTGCTGGGTGCTGCGTGTGCAGTAGAAAGGCTGCTTCCAGGCTGCTCCGTTTCTTGTTGTCTTGCGCTAGCGTGAGCCATCGTTGGTTGTCTCGTTGGAAGTGCGTGGTTGCTTCGAGAAACGTCACGATATCATCCTCCCACTTTTTCCGCTGGCACCCGTGTCTGCGTAGCGCTGGCCGGCGGTCATGGATGTCCGGCACCCATGACACAGCAAGCCGTGCCCACCTGTCGCGTGGTAGTTCGGCTACTCATCCTGCCCACCACCACTTGCGTCTGAAATCTGTCGTCGTCCACTCGTCCATGTTGGCCCGTTTCGCAATGGATGTTGCTATGTGTGCAACTCTGTGTATGTAATCTCCCCACGGTTCTAGGTCGGTCTCGTCGTCGCCGTCTTCGAGGTCCAGCTGTGTTGTGCTGTCGTCCGAGCTGGCGTCAGTTCTGCTTGCGTCATCGAAGTGAAGCTCGTCGTTGGAGCCGTTGCCGTTGTCAGTTGTGTTGCTGTTGCGTCTTGTTCGTTCCCTCGGGGCGTTCACAGTGAGTCGTAACATTCGTCGTTTGGCACGTCGATGTTTGGAGCATGTCCTTCGTGGTCGTCCAAGAAATGCAACCGTACATTACTGCTGGCGTTACCGTGCCGCTGAACAGCCGTAGTCTGCTATGGAGGGGGTACCGCTTGCTTGTGAGTTCGTCTTGAAGCTGGTTAAAACGGCGCCATCCAGACGCAAGTCGGTTGGAGAGTTCTGCTGGGTGAAAGCCGTGGAATGTAAGCTTGCGACCAAGATACTTGGTGGTCTGGCCTGCGTTGAGAATTTCAATGCTGTCGTCGTCAACGTCAGTGTGCGTAATTGTCCGTCCCTGCCGTCTGCTGACGCTCGTGCGCTCCGAAGGGCGGACCCACCCGTCAGTGGTCCCGAGTGCGGGGACGACCCAGCAACAACATGCGAAGAAGTTCGGGCACAGTCCTGTGCGAGCGAACCTCCACACCCCGAAGCAGCATCACCACCAGGCAAGGGGGCGTCGACCACCTCCCCGTCAGGAGCCTTTGGCCTGGTCAACGCACTCGAGGGGGACTGGCCACCTCGCGTGCTCTGGGGAGCGGGCCCACCCGTTGGTGGTCTCGAGTGCGCGGGTAACCCCGCAACGACATGCGGAGGGGCTCGAGAAAAAGTTTACATCGTAGCAAGGAACGTGCCAGCCAACGCTGAAGAATCCCAAACTTGCTGAACATAGTTGCCGTCACCTCCAGAACGAGAGACACCTGACACAATGTGCAAAGAGGATGTGATCGCTGCATCACCCTGATCCGCGAATCGATCACCATCTGAATCGCCATCAACCAGGCTACGATACAACACCGTGCCGGGTTCGGCAGGATCTCGTGTGGGGGCACCCTGACTGTCAGCTGTGGATAAATCCCCGAACTGCTGTAATCAAGCTGCCGAACAGTCATGGTGAGGTGACACCTACTGCCCGTCTCCCTTGGGCGTGGGTGTAAGTGCCAATTCCCAAAGATCGCGAAGACGTTGCAGACGCGACGCGATCCAGATCCTGTCCAATGTGTACACCCCATGGGTGTATGTAGTCGCTAGGGCCAGTAGCCAAGCTTTTGTAGGTGGAGGAGGAGGAAGAAGAAGAATAAGAAGAATACATATCCGCCGGCCCCCTTGTGGGGCCACCAGGCTGTAGGACCGTGATTCGCAGTTTCCTGTACCAGTTGTAGCTTGTAGTTTCCAATGTTACAGTTCTGCTTCTTGCTGGTTACTGTAACTAGTTGATTGACCGCGCGAGGGGGGGGGGAGGCCCAAACTGGATTTTTAGCACCCCCTGGGCGCGTTGTCTGAATTGCTGGGGGGCTCGAAATCGACACCCCTCACACAGATCCGCGGGGTCAGGGTCCAAAAACACATGGGATTTGCCACATTTATGAAATTCAGCGCCACCCCTCACGCAGATCCGCGGGGTCAGTGTCCAAAAACACATGGGATTTGCCACATTTCTGAAATTCGGTGCCACCCCTCGCGCAGATCCGCGGGGTCAGGGTCCAGGAACACAGGGAATTTGCCACATTTCTGAAATTCGGTGCCACCCCTCACGCAGATCCGCGGGGTCAGGGTCCAAAAACACATGGGATTTGCCACATTTCTGAAATTCGGTGCCACCCCTCACGCAGATCCGCGGGGTCAGGGTCCAAAAACACATGGGATTTGCCACATTTCTGAAATTCGGTGCCACCCCTCACGCAGATCCGCGGGGTCAGGGTCCAAAAACACATGGGATTTGCCACATTTCTGAAATTCGGTGCCACCCCTCACGCAGATCCGCGGGGTCAGGGTCCAAAAACACAGGGGATTTGCCACATTTCTGAAATTCGGTGCCACCCCTCACGCAGATCCGCGGGGTCAGGGTCCAAAAACACATGGGATTTGCCACATTTCTGAAATTCGGTGCCACCCCTCACGCAGATCCGCGGGGTCAGGGTCCAAAAACACATGGGATTTGCCACATTTCTGAAATTCGGTGCCACCCCTCACGCAGATCCGCGGGGTCAGGGTCCAAAAACACAGGGGATTTGCCACATTTCTGAAATTCGGTGCCACCCCTCACGCACATCAATCGCAAGGCGTGGTAACCCAAACTGCGAGTACTCCCTCGGCCCTTTAATCCCAAGGTGTGGTAATCCAAGCTCGTAAACCATACACGTCTTACCAATCGCCCTGTGTGGTAACCCCTCTTGTGATCAGTTGGTTTTGCCGATTGCGAATCGGCCTCGCATGAAGTTCCGATACTGCTGCACGACAGCGCCAAAGCCTCATGACTTAGCTCTTCCATGGCCCATTCTCCGAGAGAGGGGGCCGGCGGCAGGGGGCGAAGCCCTTACGGATAACAATAAGAAAAATAAGAATAATAAGAAGAACAATAAGAAGAAGAGGGGGGAAGAAGATGAGGACGGGAGAGGGGAGGAGGATCGGGAATGACGTGGTGGAGGCGATGGGGTGAAAGCAACGGCAGCTGGTGGGGGAAGGACGGGAGGGGGGGACGAGGGGGCAAACAGCGTCGGTTGTCATGATCTGATTGTCTCTACCCGAACACTCGACAAGCGAGACATCCTCAGACGCATCGGTTTATCCGGCAGGCTGTTGTACGGTCCAATGGTGAGCCAACAGGAAGTTTGGAAGGCAGGGGACGGGACGGGACGGAAGGGGGACTCAAAGGGGAGGGGAGAATAGCAAAACGGGGCAGGGGGGAGATGGGAAGGGGGCAGGGGGGAGAGGGGTGGGGAGAGAGAAGGGTCGAGAGGGGTACCCGCCACCGTGCCCCCTTGGCACGCACTGGTTCTTTTATAATGCCTGCGCCGTCTGGCTGTGTTTTACGTCGCCTTTTAAGGGGTCCCTCCTTTTATCGCATCCATCCGCGTGTGCTAGACCCTCTTGGCGCCACGACGCCAGCCGTCCAGCGCCTTCAAGGTGCCCAAGGTGTTCCACGATGGCCCAAGGTGGCCGGCAAGGCCGCCCAGAGGGCCCAAAGTTGGCTCAACAGTGGCCGTCCAGGAAGCACACGGGAGGCGTTGCTTTCTGCCCGTCCCCAAGATGACGCAAGAGACTCGAAGATAGGCCCAAGACTCCCGACATGAGACCTCAAGCAGGCCCAAGACCGCCAGAAGACGGCCCGATGAACCTTCCAGATAGACGCAAGCACACCCTCCGACAGCCCGAAGACATCCCTAGAACGACCCAATACCGTTCAACACGGCCAGAAGATCACCCATCACCGAGACGAGGCCCCCAAGAGGTCTCCGAGAGGCCCCCTGGAGGCCCCCGAAAGGCTCCCCAAAGGCCCTGCTCGGGCCCAGGGAGGAGCGCTGTCATATGCTGAGGCCATCTGGACCCTAGGGCAGCCAACTGTCACAGACAACCAGCCTCGCACTTATCCCCATCCCTAAGGTCGGAAAGCCAAAGGCTGGGAATGGACGGGGCCGCCTTGGCACAGAATGCTGCGATCACGATCTCAGAATCTTGCAAAAAAGAGGCGTACCATGTTACAACCATCTCGGCGCTGAGGAAGACGGCTATCACGTGTTGCGGCCTTCTCCGAAGGGGCGCAGGCTGTCACGTGTTGCCGCGCTGCGCGGCCTGAAGAAGAGAGCCGACACCTGGCACGGAGCTCCGAGAAATGGGAAGCGAGCTGCCACATGCAAGGGTCCTGCGGCGCCTGAAGGCAGATATCTCACACCTCGCGGCCCTGTGAGCCGTCGGCTATGGTGTGATCTTGTCGGGCCTGCGAGATACAAGTATATGTATATGTATATATATACACAACACATCACGGCCATCTGGATCCCAGGGACGGGGGCTTTCACCCACTACGGTCTGCTGGGCAATTCGCGAATGGCCGCCGCTCTGAGCGCTGCACCGGCACGGCAACAGAGCATGCCATGGGCGCTCGGGACGGGCGCCCCCCGCGGCGGAGCACGCCGCGCCACGTTCGCACGCTGTTCGCCAAGTGCAGGAGCGTCAACGCCGTCCACGAGACGTCCACACTGACGCCGACGCTGACGCCGCCAACGACGACGACGCCGACGCAGAAAACGACGACGTCGCGCGTCGCCCGTCGCCCGTCCCGCGTCCCTCGTCCCTCCTCCCTCCTCCCTCGTCCTTCGTCGTCGCCGTCGCCGTCGCCGCCGCCGTCGGCGGCGGCGGCGGCTACGGCGGCCCAGCGGGGCGTGGCGCGAGGCCTCCGCGAAGGCCGCGGGCCAAGCCGCCGTCGGGTCGAGGGCGGCCATCAGCCGGGCGTGGGCGCCAGGGGCCGCGGGCTGCACCACCTGCGCGCCGGCGCCGGGTGGCGTCGTCGGGGTCGTCGTCGGCCGCTCATCGCGCGCACCCCGCTCGCGATCAGCGCGCGGTCAGCGCAGCGGCGAAAGCGCTCCGACGGCGGCGGGCGGGGCTGCGGCGGGGGGGCAAACCGACGGCGAGCTGCGCAGGGGATGGAGGGGGGGGCGCTGCACGGGCCACGGCGCGGAGCTGCACCTCGGCCGTCGGGGGCGCTTCCACGTGCAAGTGAGGTCCGCACGGGCGGCGAGGACGAGGACGAGGAGGACGAGGTGATGTGGTAGGAAGACCGGGGGGTGGGTGGGCCGAAGAAGAAACAGCTGCGTAAACATCCACGTTCGGAGGTCCGCGTGGGTTTCTTGGGTCGGCACTGGGACCCCGGAGCGCGCCAGGGGCGGCGCAAGGAGGCCCAGCGCCGATCCATGAGTTCCGCGCGAACCTCCGAAAGTCGATGCTTACCAATTGCTCCTCTTCGACTCTTACCCTGCCCGTGGCCAATCACAGTCATCGTGCGACCAGAAGGAACGCACCACAAGGAACGCAGGGGCGTTTCTGGCCATGGCGGGCCGAGGTCAAACAGGCTCCGCTGTAACAATCTCAGAAGCGGCCCCTCCTGAGCCCGAGGTCGTCCTGAAGTGTCACCCACCGTCCTGACTGCGGCTGACGCTCCGCGCGCGATCGGCAGCCACGCTGCCGGCGGCATCTGGCGAGGAGGAGGGAGCAACTGAGCAGGGCGGGAGGCGGGGAGCAGAAAGCAGGCAGCGCCCGCGACGCAGTTCTGACACGGACCCAGGCCACAGACAGGTTCCACGGCACAGATCTGAGGGACGGCCCGACAACCGAGCCCCTCCTCAGCCCAAAGCGGTTCTGACTTCAGCGTCTTGACTGTACGGACACCCTCTTCCACCACCCTCCTCACCAAACTCGTCCTCGCCATCACTAGAGGCCTCCTTGATGGGGTCAGAGTAGAGGAGGTCGGAGGATCGCGCCGCATCGCCGATACATCGGCGATGCATCGGCGGTGCATCGATGATGCACCGGCGATGCATCGTCGACGTCGGCGATGCATCGGCGACGTCGGCGTGAAGCAAATCGGGCTCCGCATCGAGCCGCATCGGCGATGCATCGGTGATGCGGCGCGATCCTCCGACCCCATCTACTCCGACCCCATCTAGGAGGCCTAGAGGATGTTCGTCTGCCGCTGCACTTCCCATGTTTCCATATTTTCCTGGGAATCGAGGACGAGTTGTGTCTCTGTGTGAGCTCTTCCCTCCTGAAGAATGTCGGAGACGCACTGACCCAGGTCAATCCAGACCCAGGTGAGTCAGCACACTCCTCCAGACTCGTCCACCCTCTTCCACCACCCTCCTCACCAAACTCGCCCTCGCCATCACACCATCGCCCTCGCCAAACTCGCCCTCGCCATCACACCATGTCCACCAAACTCGCCCTCGCCATCACACCATCGCCGACTCCATCTAAAGGCCTAGGTGTACGGACACCCTCTTCCACCACCCTCCTCACCAAACTCGCCCTCGCCATCACACCATCGCCGTCCGCGCCCTCGTCCGCTCCCGGCCAGGCCGACTCTGGGCCCAGCACCGAGTGCTGCACACGCACGCGCACGCCTGGCCAGGAAGGTGCGCACACCGGACCCTGCCCTGACATCCTCGCGTCGTGAAAACGCAAGCCCGTACGCTCTTCTTGTTGTTTGACAGTTCAATTTCGGCCTCGAGGGGCACTTACCAGCCCTCGGGACCGTGAAAAAGCGCGGCATGAGCAAACGGCCCGGGGAAGGGGTTTAGACTCTCTGGGGAGCTGCGTTACGAACAAAAACTCGTTCGTCGGCGGCGAGGCAGAGCTGGCTGCATCAGCGCTAGAGCTAGACGGGGGCACCGAAAAGCGAATTGGCCCGCGTGCACGAGCGAGACGAGGGCAGGTGCGGGACGAACAAAAACAGGACGTCGGCTGGGTGGGCCCAGGATGGGCCTGGCCGGGATCGTGTCTGGCCGTGTCGTCCCCCCGACGAGGTGCCCTTCCGGGGGCGGCGCGCGGCGGAGCGACCCCCTGAGATCCGACGTCGCGTCGCGAAGAGACTTGCAACACCGTGCAAAACCACAACCGGGGAGCCCTGGACCCCGACTTCCCGCTGCACTCCTCGACCCAGATCGACCTGCTTGAGGGCCTGGTGAGGGGCAACGAGGGGTGGGGATTGGCACAGGGGGGAAAACATTGGCCTGGAATCGGCGGTACATCGCCGGCAGATCGGCGATAGGCCCCCGGTAGCAAAACCGCACCTCCCTGGGCGGCTTGGGGCGATCGGGGCCCCCATCGGCGATCAATGGGCGACTGGGGGCCGATGCATCCCCCCCTATGAAAGCCTGTCCCCCCCCCCTTTCGTTGCCCCCTGGGGCCCGAAACGGAGCGAAAAGCGCCCGGTGCAAAACAAGCATGCGGTGCCAGGACCTCGGGGCCCCCGCGCGCGCGGGCCGTGCCCCCCCACCTGCAGCAGCGGGAACATCAGGTCTCCCTCGGGCCTGCCGGTGGCGGGGGTAGGGCGAGAAGCGGAGGGGGCGATGCTGCGACGCGCGGCGTCGCAATGCGCGTGCTCGACGCGTGCTACAGCGCCTCACTGCCGCGGCCAAGAGCCACGGCAGGAGGTCGCACGAAGAAAATACACAAGAGAGGCAGACCGTGCGGCTATAGGAGGGGGGAGAGAGGAGGGACAGGACGGACGGCTTCGAGCGCTCGTTCCCGCAGCTGGTCTGAGAGGGAGTGAGCAGGGGGGCGGAGGTGGAGCAGGGAGGAAGGAGGAGGCGGCCGAGGAGGAGGAGGCGGCCGAGGAGGAGGAGGAGGAGGAGGAGGAGGAGGAGGCCGAAGGCTTGGGCGGCGATGGGGACGAGCGAGGAGCGGCAAGGGAGGCTGGGCCGGAAGGGACGGAAGCGGAGCAGCTGAGCGGGAGAAGAGCACAAGAGGGGAGCCGACGATGGGAACGGCTGAGCGCGGGACGCGCCAATTGGCAGGCTCTCGACGAGAGTGTGGGCCCCTCCCCCCCCCGGGCGAGGCGGCAGCGGCGCGGCTGCAGAGGCGGCGAGGCGCCGCGCTCGGGAGCGGCGGAGCGGCGGGGCGGGGCGTCCCCTGTAGCGCCGGCGGCTGGTTCAGCAGCAGCTCCAGTAGGACGGTGCCGAAGGCGTACACCTGCGCCGCGCGGCTACTCCGCGCGCACGCCGTGGCAGGGCGCGACCCCCTCTGCCCCCCCCCCCCAGGGGGGCCGGTGGGAGGCAGGCCCAGGCTCCTGCGCTCCTCGGGCGCCCCCCGCTCCCAGCCCGGAAGCACATCCTGCTCCCCAGCTTCGATCCGGAACCGACCCGGGAACCCCACTTCGTCTGACAGCCCCGAGCCCCCGGGATCTCTCCTCTAGGTGCCCCCGGGATCCCGATGGGAATCGGGCCCGAGAGAAGGGCTGGGCGAGGGCTCTTCAGCCCCTGTTCGGCCTGCCGTGGATTCGGGGGGCTCCGATCTCCTCAGCGATTCTGAGATTGCTGTTCGACGCTTCGAAAGACATGAACCATCCGCGCCCTCGCTTACTACCTAAGGCTTAGTCCACACAAGTATTCAAATGCAGAGCGACCTGGAACGAGACGGCATCCATATAAAAGACGCCGAAAACGCACATCCGAGTGAGCAAATATCATCCCATGCCTAACACGCACACCCGAACGAGCAAATCTGATCCCATGCCCATAACCACAAACTCCCCCCACACGATACCATTGGCCGTTCCGCCGAGTCGCCGCAAAGCGCGGTGTACAAACATTGCTGGACATGGAATTGCAAGAGCATGCGAAAGGAATTCGCGAGCGTATGCGACGCGAGCGACATTCCCAGGAACCCAAATTTCCAATGTCCGCATGCACCGAGGAGTGTCAACGACTGGGTCTGGCCAACTATGGTGCTCCGATTTCTGATAACTGCTAGCCGAAGGCTTCTGCCTACGACCATACCCATCAAAGTGTATGCACCAGTCATGCCTGCAAGGCCAGAGTCTGAGCAAAGGGAGCAAGCGCCCCCACCGAAGATTTACGTACAGCGTCAGGAGTGCGCGAGACCCTTGCAGGATCTGCCGATCGCGTCTTCTGATGCCGACTGCGCCAAGCGTCCTGGGAGCCCGCCGACGCGCCCGCGATGGAAAAGACCTCGACGAGGAGGCCACGCGAACCCGCCGACGGAGGACGACTGCTGCCTGGGCCCCCCACCCCCCCAAGACTTATGTTGCGCCCATCGCACGTAAGGGCCACATCCCAGAAATAATTTCGAGCACCCGGAAGAGTGTCGAAAGAGTATCGAAACAGTGTCGAAACGGTGTCGGACGAGTGTCTCCCAGGGCCCGACACGTGAAAACCCTCGAGTTTCGGTAGTTTTCTGGTGCTCGAAATTCTTTCTGGTGATCAAGGCTGAAGTATAATGGGCCTGTTTTCCACCACCACCACCATGAGTTGGAGGGGGGAAGGAGGTGGAGGACGAGGAGGAGGAGGACGACGACGAAGAGGTGGAGGTCGAGGAGGATGAGGAAGAGGAGGAGGAGAAGGACTCCCTCCTCCTCCTCCTCCAAATTATGGTGGTGGTGGAAAACACGCCCATCAAAGCAGGTTGGAACATCATAACTCGAGACACGCGCTCGGCCCCTGGCCGATCCTTCTCCAGACGGGGCCCGCGAGGCAGAACGGCAGCAGAGCGTGCGGCGGCCAGGCCCGCAGGCACCCCTCCGGGCGCTGGGCGCGCCGCGCGAGGCGAGCAGGGACCAGGGGAAAGTGCGGCATTGGCACGCTGCTCGTTGACATGTGTCACGTGTGCGGAGCTACACTGTCAATGCTGCGGGGAAGGGGCGCCGGCGCCGTCCTCGGAGGCCTCGGTGACGCGGCCGGACAGCGCGTAGGTGGGGCACACGTAGCCGGGCGTGCCGCTGATGTCTCCGCCCGCGGGCCGCCGCGGACAGGGGCGCCGCGCCCGCGGGCGCCGTCCCCGTCGTCGTCAGAGGCGCCGCCACGGTTACTTGGCCACCACCCTACCCTGTCGTCATCACCTTCGCTCGCGTCGTGGCCAGCGGCAGCCGTCATCGCAGTGGTCGCTGTCAAGACGGTCATCGTCGTCGCTGCCATCGTCGTCGCTGGAAGTACCGCCACCATCGTCACAGCCACAACCACCGTCATCAGCACCATCGTGATCAACGTTGTCGCCCTTTTCATCATCCTCTCGTGACCATGTTGAGTCAAGCCATCGCTGTTATGTGGGAGACCTGGCCCTGAGGCCTCCCTGGGCCAGAGACCAAACTCCTAAAGGCACCATGGTGTTTCCGCAGGCATGCTTCTTGTATCGTCCCCGTCAGAGCACGCGGTGGGCAGTGCTGGTGTTGTGGAAGCAGCAGCGCTGCGACGGCGGACGGCTACGTCCACTGCGCTCGCGCTCCAGACGAAGTACTAGCAGCACAGCAGATGGGTGCAGCCAGCACCCTCGGCGCTCGAGCCGCCAGATTGGGCGCGACGTAGCGAGCCATCGGCGTGCGCGCTCCCTGGCGCAAGCCATGGGGTCAACTTCGGGCTCGCGAGAGGCGAAGTAGAATGCACAACGCTTGAGGCCTCGCCCGCGAGCGAGTTGGGCGAGCGCGTCCGTATTTTACAATTAGAGATGAGGCGACTCACCACAGGTTGAAAGAGAGCCCAGGCCCAGCAAGGCGCTGGCGGAAGCGACACACCGAAGGTGGTGGCTGCACGCCCACGGCACAAAATCTGCTCGCAGGCAGGGAAGCGGGCCGAGCTCATCGCCAGGCAACGCCGCCTGGCCGAGTGCCGAGAGCGCGAGGAGGCCACCGACCTTCGAGCCCAAGGGGGATCTGGAGACAGCTGGCGCGCCGCTGGTTCGGGCGCCGCGTGCCCAAGCGACCGTGGAGCAAAAGGCTCCGCGGCGTGGTGGACCGGCTCGCAGCATTTGTAAACATCATCATTAGAACCATCTATAGCATGATCTTCAGCATCATCATCACCCTCATCAGCATCTTCATCATCATCACCATCACCATCACCATCACCATCAGCATCGTCATCGTTATCGTTATCGTCATCGTCATCGTCATCGTCATCGTCATCGTCATCGTCATCGTCATCGTCATCGTCATCGTCATCGTCATCGTCATCATCATCATCACCATCACCATCATCATCATCATCATCATCATCATCATCATCATCATCATCATCATCATCATCATCATCATCATCATCATCATCATCATCATCATCATCATCATCATCATCATCACGGATGCTAGAGAGAAGGACGGGAGTTCGCCATGGACGGGGCCTTCTCCCATGTGGTGGTCAGCTCGTCCAGC